TGCATTAGGAAGAAGAAGAGATAGCATGAAAGAAGAATGTTGCATGAATTACCTGGTATCTGGAACTTTTAAAAAGTTGTTATTAATTTAATTTTTTATATTTTTTTATTGGTTTGCTTACAAAGTTTGTATACATAGTATTTCACAGTATTCTTTATTCACATGGTGTTTCAGGCAATCTTTCTCAAGTATTATGATTTATAAAATCAATCACCATGGGATCTTACCCATCATTATTCTCTTTTTTGCCTGGATCCTTCCCATCTGCTTACCCCTCTCCGCAGCCCTGTAGAACTTGTTTTACATCTAGCTCTATAAAACCTAAAAGTTGTATGGCAATGTTAAGAATTAGCAGTTGTTAGCATGTCAATTCCTCCTCATCAGACTAAAATAGTTCTTCTTAGGGTTTTCAAGGATTGATTTTTCAACAGACCCTCTCCCTCACTCAGTATTTCTGAGGCCCCACTTGGTGGCCAATCTTTATATTACCATCTCAAAGCTCAATCCATTGCTGTTGAATTGAAAGCAATCCACAGCTGACCCTCTGGTAGGTTTTCTGAGATTGTAAATCACATGGGAGGAGATTGTCCATTCTCCTGTGAAGCAGCTGGAAGATTTAAACCACTTTACTTTGGGTTGGCAGCACAACTACATAACCACTAGGCCACCAGAGTTCCCTGTATTAGTAGCAGAGTACCTTAAATGTTTTCATCCTTCAAGGATTCCTGCCTTCAGAATAGTTACAAGTATTTTGCAAAATGTTAACCCTTTGGTGATGCTTGACTAATCAGCAGGGTTCCTTAAAGAAAATAATCCCGTGTATAATTGTTCCTAATCATTAATGTTCAATCTCTTAATATCCTGAAGGTTAATTAATGATGGTTATTAGCCACCATAGATATGAAAACAGTGACACTATTACCAAATCTCTTCTATGCTCAACTCTGTGTGCAACATTTATTCCATAATGATGCATCTTGTGAAATATGTTATTGTCTACATTTTACAAATGAAGAAGTGGGAGTTTAGAGAGAGTGGATAATTTTCTTTTTCTCTCCTTTTCTTTTCTCTTCTCTTCTTTTCTTTTCTTTTTCTCTCTCTGTGTGTACCATCAAATCAGATCTGACTGGTACAGGAGGAGATTGTTCCTCCTTCACTAGCAGAGGATCTGGTGGATTTGAACTGCACACTTCTGGGATTGCACTTCTTGCCACTTGACCACCAGACCTCACTGAGAGTGGATCCTTTTCTTACATGCTCATAACAACACAAGATTGTGTGATCACAAAGCAAATTCACAATACTAAAAATTTACAGATAATCTTGTTATTTAATAGTTGAATATGAATTTTAAAAATATTTATCAGAGACTTTAGAAAAGTAATAGGGAATACTTTAAATACCTTTATGTTTTAATTATAGCATCATACCACCTAAGAGAAATTTTATGGTATTTTTGTTCTCAAGCAAGTGCCCTCTGCCTATAAAGCCACTTAAATTAGCAGATGTCAGATATTCTTTTTAGGCCAGCTCCTCTGATTTCATAAAACATATAGTACAAGAAAGACAACTAACAGGAAAACTGCATGTCACATCAGTAAAGGGCTTTCATAGGAACATATGAAAAAAACCAGAAAACAATATTGTACCTTTACTTTTATATGAAGAAAGCAATATATGTAGTGATTTTTTCCAGAATGCTACTGTCAAAATAATAACAATAGCTGTTAGATGCTGTAAAGTCAGGTCTAACTCATAGCCGCCTTATAAACAAAAGATCTCAACCCTGTCCTTTCCTGTGCCAACCTCATCATCACTGGCATTCTCGAGTCAATTATAGCTGTCACTGTGTCCATCCATCTGATCGAAAGTCTTTCTTTCTCTCACTGACCCTCTACCTTTCAAAGCATGATGTCCCTCTCCAAGGAATAGCTTTTCCTAAAAACATAACCACAGAATGTGAGATTAAGCCTTGTCCTCTTTACCTCCAAAGAATAGTCTGGCTGCACACTCTCCAAGACTTATTTTTTAATTCTTTTGGCAGTCCATGGGATATTCACTACTCTTCTCCAACACCCTGGTTCAGAGGCATCAATTTTTCTTCTGTTCTCCTTATTCATTTTCCAGTTCTCAGTTGCCTAGCAAGTGGCTGAAAAAAACCACAGCCTGAATCAGACACACCTTAGTCTTCAAGCTGACATCCTTACTCTTCAGTAATTTGGAGAGGTCCTTGACTGCAGACTTTGCCAATAAAATACATCTCCTAGCCTTGTGACTGCAGAGCTAGTCTTCCCCAGATCAACTCTATGTGGTTCTCGCTGCCTGTATTCCATGGATGAGGGAACTGAGGCTCAGCAAGTTCTAGGGGGCCACAAGTTCACTGTGTAGATCTGGGATTTGGATCTGCATCTACCTATAAATTATCCATTCTTAGGTCACATGTTGTTGTTGTTGTTATGTGCCATCAAGTAGCTTGCAACTCATAGTGACCCTATATACAAGAGCCCTAAACCCTATTCTATCCTGTGCCAACCTCACTGTCTCCGACACACTTACTCCCACAACCCCAATCACAGAATTGATCCATCTCATCAAGTGTCTTCCTCCCCTGCTCTGTCCCTCAACTCTCCCAAACATGATGTCCCTCTCTAAGGACTGGTCCCTCCTTGCAAACATGCCCAAAGTATGTCAAACAAAGCTTCAGAATCCTTAACTCCAAAGAGCAGTTCGTTTTCATTCTCTCCAGGACAAATCTGTTTGTTCTCTTAGCTGTCCATGGTATATTCAATACTCTTCTCCAGCACCACAGCTCAAAGGCATCAATTCTCTTTCTGTCATCCCTAGTCACTGTCCACCTATCTGATGCGTAGCACAGAATTGTGAAGACTATAGCTTGGATCAGGTGCACCTTAAATCTCCAGCCTGACATTGTTGCTCTTCAGTACTCTGGAGAGGTCCCTGACAGCTGACTTTCCAATGCAATTTTTCTCTTGATTTGTGGAGCCAAGCAAACGAAAACTGTTAACTACCTCAATCTCTTCACCATCCAAACTGATGCTGCCAATTGGTCCAGTGGTGAGATTCTTTGTTTTCTTGATATTGGTCTTCAATCCATATAGGAGGCTGCAGTCCTTGACCTTCTGCAGCAAGCGCTTCAGGTCCTCCTCAGTTTCAGCAAGCAGGGTTGTGCCATCTGCATAACGCAGGTTGTTGATGACTCTTCCACCAATCCTGATGCTACATTCCTCCTCATATAGCCCAGCGTCTCAGATGATCTGTTCTGCGTACAGATTGAAAAGGTATAGAGACAGAATACATCCCCGGCGGGCCCCTTTCCCAATTTTGAACCATGTAGTGTGTTCTTGCTCTGTTCTGTTGAGTGTGTCTTGGTCCAAGTATAGGTTTCACAGAAGCACAATCAAATGTTCTGGGATTCCCATTTTTCTCAGAGTCAGCCAGAGTTTGCTGTGATCCACACAGTCAAAAGCCTTTGCATAGTCAATGAAGCACAGATAGACATTCCTCTGGTGCTCTCTGATTTCTGCCAAGATCTATCTAACATTAGCTATAATATTCCTAGTACCACAACCTCTTCTAAATCCAGCCTGCAATCTGGCAGTTCTATGTTGATGTGTTCCTCCAGTCATTTTTAAATAATTTTCAGCAGAATCTTGCTTGCATGTCATATTAATGATACATGGGAATTAAATTGTGCAAAAAACTATAATTTCCTGAGCAGACTTTGTTATCAAGAATTCGTCCATTTTCTCAATTGTAATTCATTAAAGACATAGTCAGAGCCTTCCGGCAGCATGAAACTATTTAGAAGCAAATAACTTAAATTCATCAGAAAGAAACTTGATGGTCAAGTTGAGTTTATTCCTGTATCAGGATTTTTGAAATCATGAAAGTAACTTTTTTTACATGACTTTTTTATTAGTTTGCTTACAATGCTTACATACATTGGTTTCACACTATTCATTCCCATTGTGTTTCATACAACCATTCTCATGCATTATGTTTTATAACATTGATCAGCATTGGACAGGTCCAATCAAAGTAACTTTTTGTTGTTAGTTGCCATTGAGTTGATTCTGACTTAAGGGGCCCATTTGTGCAAAGTTGAACTGTTTTATAAAGACTCTAAGAAGCAGATCCTCAAGTCTTCCTTCTAAGGTGCCATTTGTACATCTCGAGATTCCTCAGAGTAACTGAGCAATCCCTTATGGTTCCTGTTACTGCCTGGTAGACGGTTAAGGATGCAAAGTCCATGGACTTGCACTGATGTCCTTAATATGTGTCAAAGAAGCCCTGGAGGCATGAAGCACTGAAGTAGAGGGCTGTCAAGCCAGCCAAAGCTCAGGCAGCACTGGTGGCTTAGGGGAAGGAGCTGCATTGTCAGCTCAAAGGCATGTGGTTCAAATGTCCCAGCTGCTCCATGGGAGAAAGAAGGGTGATCTCCTGCCTTGCGATTATGTTGCCTCTGAAAATCTGCCAGAGGGTCAACAATGAGTCAGTTCTGACATTACAAGTACATAACAACAAAAAACATAGCAAAAGGTCAACAGTTCCAATCCACCAACCACTCTGTGGAAGAAAGATGAACTAGTGTTCTCCCATGAAGAGTTACAGCATCAAAAACCCAACAGAGGATCATTATAAGTGAGAATTGATTCAAGGACAAGGTGTGGGTATGTGTGTGTGTGTTAGATGGTTAACTATTTGGTTCTCAGATATCTTTAAATTTCTTCATGAAAGTAGTAAGTATAGGCTGCTTTATTCTATAAAGCACTACAGATGCTGTGTAGTCCTGGATGGAATCTTTGGGTGGAAGGTGGGTGAGGGAGGGTGGTGATTAAGATGAGTAACTGCTTTGGAATTCTAACAGTTTTTCTTTGAATTTCCAGATGAAACTAAGTTTTCAGTCACCCCACCAGGAGTCATCTTTGTAGGGGATACAGTAATTCTGACATGTGTAAATGAAATTTTTTCTTCCAACGTAACTTGGTATCATGTTGAAACTCAGAGTGACATCAGTAACAACAGCAGATTCTTTGTATACAGTGTCTTGCTCAACAACACGACTTCCGTGTCCCAGCTCACCATTGAAAATGCCTCTGAGGAAGACTCAGGTAGGTGTGTCTTCAATAATGTGTGTGAAGAAAGGAAGAGTGCCACCTGTTTACATTCTTTGTCACTGTTGTCATCGTTTTTAGGTGCCTTATAGTTAAGTATGATCCATAGCGACCATCTATGAGCAACAGCTCTAAGCCCTATCCTGTCCTGCACCATCCTCACATTTCCTGACGCACTAGAGCCCCTTGTAGCAATCATTGTGTCAATCCACGTGGTTGAGGATCTTCCTCTCCTTTGCCTTTCTAACCCTTTGCCTTTCCAAGGATGATGTCCCTTTCTAAGGAATAGCCTTTCTTAGCAACATGCCTCAAGTATGTGAGGCGAAGCTTAAGGTCCTAACAGAATACCACCAAGTAGTGGAGATGATAAAGAGCACAGATTTATTTTCTCACCATTTAGAAGCTGGAAGACTACATTCAGGACATCAGCTCTAAGTGAACATCGTCTTCATCTCTTTCAGTGCTTGGTAGCTGCTAGTAATGCTTCGTGTTCCTGAAGTTACAGATGCAACTGTCTTCATGGTGCCACACTCTCTTTATCTGTATTTGTGTGCCCTGTGTCTGTCCTATTCTTTTTTTTAAATGACTCAGGAGTGATTGGGTTAAGAACTCACCTTTCTAATGAGGCCACACTAAAATAATAAGAATCATCTTATTCCAAAAAGGGTCAGATTTGCAGGCACTGACATTAGGATTTCAATATAGTTATCTTTAGACTGCTCAGAAAACAAACAGATTCATCCTGGAGAGGGTTAAACCAGGGTG